AAAGAAGTTGGTGGGTTTAAGGGGCTGATTACTGTTTGGAATGAGCCAGCAGAAACCAGTCATTCATGTAATGATGAAATCGCATCCACAGAGCATGAAGATGACAAGCAAACAAAAGATATAACGAGTCAATGTGAGTCTGAAAAGAAGGGCTCAAAATTGGTAAACCACCCTAAAATGACAAATCGAAGTTAAGGTCGAGACTGCTGGGCAATCAGGATGTGAAGGTAAGCATTGGAGACATTCATTTTCGTCATCCACAATCTTGGCGAAAACGCCCATCTTAGGGTGAGAAAAGACTACATGGTAAATTTGGGAAATGCAATGAAGCAGTTGAGGTGAGAAATCGATAACTGGCTGTCAATCCCCAGGTTTTGGGGACCATGAAAAGACGGGAATAAAACCTCCAGAAGGGTGGCAGTCTGGTTCGACAGCCTGCTGCAAAAGCAATTCTCGAACCACCTCTGACAAATGATGGCACACCACGGGATCTGGAGGAAGAGGAAAGGAAATGGGGCAAGAAGAGAGAGGAAGAGGGGAGAGAAACTGGAGAATGAATCCTTCTAACAGAACCTGTATCACCTACTGATCTTTGATGAAGGGATGCCAGCAAGGAAGAAAGTCCAACAGTTGAGCTCCTACCGGCCTCAATCCCACAAGGTATTCATTAGTACCGTTGGCGATGGATGTTTCATTGTCGAGGAAATCAACGAAAAGAAGTACCCCAACTAGCAGGAAGGGGTAAGTGTTGGGAGGATGAAGAACAAAAGGTGGGAATAGCAGGTATATGAGGCTCTGATATAGATAAATGGGCGACAAATGACGTGAGGATGGATTGCTGATGGACTGATGTAACCCAAGGCTCGATAGTTTCTGGAACAGTACCAAAGACATGACATTCTAAAAATGGAGCAAGATGCAAGTCCTGTAGATATGGAGAGGGTAAACTGACCTATGCAAATACAGCATCCCTACCAATAAGATCCGAGCAGTAAAAGAAACTACGTGTAACGCCAGAGCCAAGGAAGAAATGTGGAGGAGAGAATGTTCAAGGTATCTACAGAAAACCCCTCAAGATTTCTGTGGAGTGCCTCATAAAGGAGAAGTATGGAAGAAAGACACTGTAGAAGGGTGATTAGGGTAAGATAAAGGCAGGAATATTGGGCATGGATAAGACTAACATTATAATTGAGAGCCACCCTCCAAAGAGGTAACAATGAACCCAACAACTGCAGATCCAAAACTGGATAGTCAGCATAATGGTAATAAAGGGCGTGCCGAAACGAAGCCCTTGGGGGGCAGCATGCTGATACCCTCACTTTATTGAGAGACAAAGTGATCAGCATGTACCCGAATATCTGGAGAGGGAGAAAAACCAAAAACAGTTGAGAAGAGGTTTCATGTAATAAAAAAAGGTTGAGAAGAATAAGATATAAGGGAAAGAACAATACAAACCTGAGACACATAATCCATGAAGACCGAATCAGCCATAGATGATTCCTCGGGTAGCAAGTGGGAAGAAATGGCAAACTCTGGAGGTGGGAAAAAATGATCAAAATCCTCGCCATTTTGGAGAATTTCCGTCGATTCAGGACGAGCCTGGGCAATGTCAGGGGACAAAGGTTGACCCATGTAGCGTTCAATCTCCCGACGTATAAAAGCAGAAAGATCTACCGTCGAGTCATCTACACCTGAGGTCTGACAAACAACATTAGTTGTTGGTGTGACTCCCGAAGTGGTAACGCGAACTTCGGAACTCATAATGCAAAACAGAACTCACAAGTGATCAAGTTTTGCCGAAATATACAGCGACATATTGAACTGGTTTATAGTAGAGAAGAAATTAAAAGTTAAGCTCAATAAGAAACCACTTTTGGCGGAAAAAATGTTCCGTCATCACACAGAAGCACTAGCAGAGAGAAAAAAAAACGCTGCCAAAAGAGAAGTGAAGGTTCGGTAGTGGGAGTCACCTGCGTCAAGTAAGCACGTCAGTCTACTATTGGTTAAGAGAAGATGATTTCCATGAGAGTCATGTTGGAACATGACATTTCCAACAAAGGGAGGTTTGCAAGGCTTGTGGTATGCGTTATAAAAAGTTCGCTCATAGAGGGCAGCAGTGAATGAGAATCTTGTGAGGGAGGTAAGTACCGTATCGGAAGATATTATTTCACAAAACATTTTTTCTATAATGTGTACTTTTAAACATGTTATTATTTGGCAAAAAATTAGTTTTATAATACCATCTAACCATGATATTGTTGGTAAAGACATTGGTATTTATATTGGACGTTTTTCTAAACATGTTATTGTTAATCAAAACATAGTTTCTATTATGGATATTTCTTAAGCATATTGTTTGTCACAAGTTTTCAAAATGGACATTTTTTACACAGGTTATTGTTCATCAAAACTGTTTTTATATTAGAAATCTTTTAAGCATGTTACTGTTTGTCAAAACTTATTTTTTATAATGAACATCTGTTAAGTATGTATTATCTGTCAAAGCATTTCTAATGGATATTTTCAAGCATGTTATTGTTAGTCAAAAGTTTTTATAATGAATATTTCTAAGCATATTGCTGATTCTCAAACAGTTTTTATTATGGACATTTTTTAAGCATGATACTTTTCTTCAAAACATTAGTTTTTCTAATCGAAATTTTAAGCATGTTTGTTTTTGCAAACCTTTTTATAGTGGTCATTTTTTAAGCACTTATTTTTTGTCAAACATTATTTTTATTACGACATTCTTAAATATGTTATTGTTTGTCAAAATGTTATTAATATTGACATTTCTTAAATCATGTTATTAACAGTTTGTTTGTTTGTAATTAAGCACAAAACTACACAATGGGCTATCTGTGCTTTGGCCACCACGGGTATGAGACCCTGATTTTAGCGTAATAAGTCTGCAGACATATTAACAGTTTGTCAAAACATTGTTTTTATAATTGTCATTTTTTAAGCACTTATTTTTTGTCAAACATTA